ACATCTGAAACCCCAGTGTTGGGAAGGCAGAGTCAGATGATCCCTGGAGCTGGCTGGCCAGCAGGGTCAGCCATGCCAGCCAGGCTATGCCAGCTTCCGGCTCAGGGAGAAACCCTATCTCTGAAGGTAACCTGGAGTGCAAAGGTGAAAGACACACAGTGTCAGCCTGTTCTGTCCACATACATGCACACGCGCACACACACTACACATGAAAAGTTGAGTGTGAGGGGCTTACCCCTATAATCCCAGTCCTAAGGAGAGAGAAGAAGAAGGGCATCTTCAACAGTGTAGTGAGTTTGAAGCACAGTCTGGACTATAAGAGCCCCTATTTTGAAAACAAAACAATAACAAAACCATGAAGAGCTGAGGGTGGTAATATCTGTCCATAATCCCAGCACCTGGGAGACTTAGATAGGAGGGTTGCTTTGAGTTCAAGATCAGTCAGAACTCCAGAGTGAGACTGTTTAAAACAAACAAAGTGCGTGAAGCCACAAGCTAGTTTTCTGAGTGAGATCATCACTCCCTAAGTGACTGCTGTTTACACAATTTACACAATCACTCCCTAAGTGACTGCTGTTTACACAAGCCGCACTTCCATGGTGACTCACAGCAGGCTGACTCTCAGTCTCTAACAGGCAGAGATTTGCAATTCGCAGAGGCCCAAGTCTGGGGAAGCCCAGGCTGTCTCTGTGGACGTGATTACAAACAGGAATGGGCCAAGACCCCTTTGATGCCCTAGGGGACAGTTGTGCATTCTGGTTCCAGCTCTAGAGCCTGGAGAAACAAGGGCCCCAGGAAAGACAAAAGACAAACTCCCTTTAGGCTGGGCCACAGGCTTGGGCTATGGTGGATGATGCAGATATCAAGGACTTCTTTTTGCAGATATGTCCTGGGGGATTTAGGGTGGAGTAGGAAGTGGACAGGGCTCAGCTGAGCCTCCTGCAGAGCAAGATAGAGCATGTTGCTCCAGGTGAATGAAGCTAAGATCCAGAGGCCATTCAGAGTCCAGTCTTCCGACGATGGGATGGGCCGTGTCCTGTACAGAGTTCTAAAGAGCTACCCAGGCTCTCAGCTCCACTGTGGCTTTTGGCTCCACTGTGCCAACTCTATGGGAGGCCCAACTCCATCCTTATGAACCAGGGCAGGGTCTCAGTGGAGAGCTTGGGGTTTCACTCTGTGCATAGACCTTCCTGTTTGCTGCAAGGTATGTAGTCAGTGTCTAGTAACCTCCTAGGACAAGATCAGGAGGACGCCAGACTCAGAAAGTTGCCACAAGCTCTCTCAGGGCCATGGATGGCAACACATCCTAAGCACAAAGGCTCAAGTAGACTGGATGGTTGGGAAGGTGCTGGGGTCCTGGAGAAAGTCAGGGACATGTGCTACTATGCAAATCTACTTGCCCAAATGTGTGAGTGACGGTTCCTTTAGAACAGAGATGGTTCCCTGGGCCCTGGGAGTGTTTGTGAGAGACTACCACAAGGAGTGAGGAGCCTTACACAAGCCGCTCCTTAACCTAGAGATGAGAGCTCTGCCCAGCCAACTTAAACCAAGCCAAGGGTGCCAGAGGAGGTTGTAGGTCACATTGCCTTGGCCTGGTCCGGACTGGCCATACTTTAGAAAGATCAGTGGCATGAGGACAGATGGCACTGTGTCACAGAGAAAGGCAGTACGGTCCTCATTTAAGGCCGGTCCATGTATGTCCTGTGTAAAAACCTGCTGATTGCCCTGTGACTCCGAGGACAGCCGGGGGGGGGGTGTCTTATCTTCATGTCCTCCTTTGTCCCCAGTGAAGAATTGGTACTGAGTGAGCAAAGGAAAACCCAGTGGTGACTTGAGCAATTGGAGCATGAGGTATTTTCTTTATGGGAATGCAGAAGCCCCATCAGGTATAGATAGTGACTATGTTTATGACCCTATCTGTGTGCATACTTGCTAATGTACACACATAAAGAATGGTTAAAAAACAATATATGTAAATTTAAGCTGCAGTTCTTGGACTTGTATGAAAACCACACACCCAGCCAAGTGTGCTTATATTCCCAGCATTCTGGAGATAGAGGCAGGAGGATCAGGAATTCAAAGTTAGCCTTAGTTATATAGGGAGTTAAAGACCAGCCTCCGATACATGAAACCCTATCTCAAAAAACTAGAATCTAAGCCAAAACAACACTTATAAAAAAAATAGCCATATATAAAGCCATAACTCAATTCAGCATGATGCTGTGGCATTAGTTTATGATCAGAAAATATTAATCTGGTATAAACTGAAATTGAAATGGTTACTTTAGTGAAAAGGATATTTTCAGTTCCAATTATTCAAATTTTATCCTGAGCTGCATTTACAGTCAGGTGCTGCCAGTCTAACCTGTACCTGTGACTAGAAGTGACCCAGGAGACACACTTATATTCTAGGGCCTCTCCTCCCTGCCTGCAAAGAACCTACAGTTACCAGGACAGGAATCAAGGTGGAGGGCTGCTGCAGAGGCCGGGCTGTGCCTGCCTCCCATCAGTGCTCCTGGGAAGGCTAGTAGCAGTTCTAAGACACAGCCAGGCTGGTCCTGGGGCCCTGTGGATGGAGACAGGGGCACTTGTGAATGGAGGATGGAAGCGTCTAGGGTCTGGGAAGTGGCCGAGATGACACATGATGAGCAAGGTTTTTGAAAGAGCCGATGAGGGCCACCGAAGACTGACTCTGGGCACTGACCAGGTATAGCTGTGGTCAGCCCCCGCCAGGCAGTTGTGTCCACTGGAGCTAGACACCATGGTTCAGCACCTCTTGCGTGAGAGTGGAGAGCCGCACCCTGCATGACCCAGCAGCCTCACCATCAGGCCACCCTACTTGCTCTCTTAGGCAAGCCTCACCCCAGTCCTGTGACCAGACTATTTTGTGGTTTGGCCTCTTGGCAGAAGCTTCTGGATGGATTTCCATCCCCAAATGCTGAACTTTGCCTTGAAGTCAGTCGATTCTGACTTCAGGAGACCTTTCACTAGGGACAGAGGGTGTGTCTTTTGCTGTCTCACTCTCACCACTGTCCTTTGAGTGGCTGTGTATTTGTCCCAGAAACCCTCTTGTCCAGGCTTCCCCTGAAACTCCAGCCCTTCCTTCTTGTGTTTGTTGCCCAAGGCAGGCGCTCTGTCTCAAAGGGAAACACAGATGGCCAGCGTTAGGTACGTTTGATTGTGCTTGGTTAGTCCCACAGTCAAGATGCTTACTCAAGGACATTTCTTTGATCTTCTCAGGCTTTTTGGATGACTTACAGCCATCATGCACTTGTGTTTTTCTGAACACCTGGGTGCATGGGGGGGGGGGTCCTGTGATGGAGCTTCATCGGCTCTGTGGAGGCTGCTGGAGTCATGTGCTAACCACAACAGTTTGGGGATTTCCTTCAATCATGTAGAGTTTTGGTCTTGAGGCAGTTGGGAATTTTTCTGCCATTCACGCTAGCACTGAGCAATTAATTTTCCAACAGTTCCAGGCCCCAGCATTTCTCTGCTTTCTACTCTGATGTGTTTATGTCTAACAGTAGGAAAGGTAACCTCCAAAAATATACAGGGCCATTGCTGTGTGGCTCAGGGACAACTGAAACAACAGGTAAAAGTACAGTTACAGCACATGTGGTCAGAGGCCAGAATGACCTTTGGCCATGGCACAGTTCTGTGTGTAATGCTGGGGCTCAAATCCAGGGCCTGTTGAATATTAGGCAAACATCTAACTCTGAGTAACAGTTCAGCCCCTGAAGAAAACACATTAAAGTTGGCAGAAGCCTGTGAAACCCCTAACCCTCCCGTTGTCAGGTGCCTGGTGATAGGAGTTACAGTGAGTCTACTTTCTGTCCAGATCCTACAGCAATGATCTCAGCTTTATTCAAGCTTCAAGGGGCCAATGTATTGCCCATTCAGTTAGCAAGTCAAACAGCCTACCAGTGGCAGGGCTTGGAGGCAGGGATCGGAGGCAGGGATCTTACACTCAGCACTCAGCACAGAGCTCAGTGATTCACTCTCCCCTGTCATGAGGCAGGCAGGCAGGATGAGCTCCACTTTTGAGGTCCTTGGCCTCTCAGCCTTTGCTGCTGTGGCTCTTTGTCTCAGATCCTCATTCTGCTGGGTCTGTGCCATGCAGAGCCTGTGCCTAAACTCTGGCTTTGGAAACAAATACTCTAGACCAAAGAACAGAAATTATGCTTCTAAGATTATAGAGGCTTCATGTCCAAACCAAGAGTTCCTGGCAGCATAGACAGCCCTGGTAAGGGCTTTCTTCCTGGTTTGTAGATGGCCCCCTCCTCTGTGTTTCCATATGGTAGAGAGGGAGGCTGTCTCTAATAAGGGCATTAATTGCAATGTGAAGGCCCCACCCCAGAACTTATTTGGCCCTGGTTACCTTCCAGAGGTCTCACCTCCTAATTCTAGCATCCTGGGGTTTCAGCATGAAAATTTGGCAGGCTGACACAAACATTCCACCAATTGAAAGAACTATAGCTGTGTGCCATGTGTGATCTCTGGGCACTTGAAATATAGCCAGTCTATACTTCAGTCCACTGTGGGGTATAAAGTATACACCAAATCCCACAGGTTTAGGATGAAAACTAATGAGCACTATCCAGTAAGTAACTGGAAATTTTTAAATTATCTGCTGAGATAACTTTTGGGATATACAGGGTCCAATAAAGCACAGTACTAAAACTAACTTTGCCTGACATGGTGGCACACACCTTTAAGGCAGAGGCAGGAGGATCTCTGTAAGTTTCAGGGCAGCCTGGTCTATAGAGCAAGTCCAGGACAAGAGATCCAGGGCTCTTACAAGGAAAAACCCTGTCTCAAAAAAAAAAAAAAAAAAAACACAAAAAACAAAAAACAAAAAACAAAACCAGAAAAGATGACTGACTTTCTTTTCAATTTTTAAAATTTCTGAGACAATTCCAACTAACATGAATGTTCATGTATGTATGTTTTATTGCTTATATTTTAGCATGCAATGTAATTTAAAATTACATGATATTGTAATATACATATATACAGTGAAGTGATTACTATAGTTAGCTAATGAACATACGCTAATGACTGTATGGATGTGTGTGTTCATCTGTGTACGTATGTGCATGCATGTGTGTGTGTTACCTCAATCATGCTTTCTGAGCACACTTCTGCTATGTGATATGATACATCTATGTGCCAGCTAGCAACAGAATGGTTGACAGACAGCACACATGATGGTGGTCTCATATGACATCTACGTCATATCTCCTAGTGCCATTGGACCTGTTTTAGCTTGCATTCGCAATTCAGAGTGAAGGTTTGGAACAAGGTGACCATAGGCAGAGCAGACAACTGAGTTTTCAGATGTTTAAGTCAAGGAATGCAGTATAGACTCCAAGGGACCCTGTGTCCAGATATGGCTCCCAGGAAGTTTCCAACATCACCAGTGGTCTGTATCACACAGCTGAAGACACCCCACAGGTGTTTTCCCTCCACGCTCATCACCCTGTTCCAGTTCCTGACACAGGCTGGCAGGCCAAAAATAGCTGAGGTTTGCAGCCACAGAAAGAGGTGGATCTGGGCTGATAGGGTGGCACCACTGTGGCCTGGAACACCCCGCCTCTTGGCCTGGGGCCAGCTGGAGAAACCAGGCAAGGAGCTCAGCCAGCAGGCCATCATCAGCTTTGTCTGGAATTTTCAGATTTGTCCAATGGCAGTGTAAGAGTAGCAGGCACACCAGGGCTCTTCCTCCCAATGAGCCTTTGGGCATGCTCCTTTCTGCATTCTTCAAATAGCTGTTTTGATGATGTTGATATTTGGGGGGAACTGGTCTCTCCTTCACGTAAGCGCATTTACCTTCTGTTTGTCTTATTCTCTTGGCTCAACAGGTGGCATTTTTGTTCAGAAATTGTTCTGTTAGTTGCCTGTGTTCGTGGATCATGACATATTAATCATGCAAATTAGGATATTATTAATGAAGAAAAACTTAATTCCGACCCTGCGGCAGGCTTCGATGTCCCAGCTCTGTTATGTCCTCTTGTCTCAAATGCCATCAGCATCTTCTTCCAGCTGCTGCAAACTGGCACTTTGACATACAGGGAAAAGGGAGTGACCGTATCAGCGCAGCAACTTCCCTCTGGGGTCAGTGTCATAAGCACATGTTTACCTGAGAGCTTGTGTTTTCAGGCAAGATTGCAAAACCTGACCTCCTTCCTGGCATGTAAACAGTAAGCAGCCTTTGGGAACCAGCTCTGTCGTTCTGTGCCCTCTAGGAAAGCCCACTGAACCTAGTATCAGCTCCTGTCCCCAACACAGACCCGTGTGGCAGTGTGGCTTTGCTGACCTCTGAGTAGTCCCAGCTCTGTTTTTTTTTTTTTTTTATATGCTCTTGCAGGGGACATGTGAGCCCCTTTTCCAGTGCCCCCTCTTCACACCTATCCTTTAGCTTCTATACATACCCCTTAATTAAACATGACCCCGTGGTCACTTTTTCTCCCTGCCCTCTAGCTGACCCTTACTCCTCCCAGCACTCCAGGCTGCTCAGAGATCTGCTTTCAGTCCTCTCTGCTTTCAGTCCCATGAGCCAAGTTCAGAAACAGGATGTTTTTGTGAACTTGGATGTGTCTCCCAACTGCAAAGTGGCAACACCCCTTGGAAAGACTGTACTATTCTGCAAAGCTGGCTGAGTCACCCCATGTACTGTCACAAGACTGGGCTGAACCAAGAAAAGTGGAAGCTGGACTCTCTTAGCACTGGTGGCTTAATGCCAGGACCATGTGGGGGTAAGGGAATCTGGAGGGTGTCTGACCACTGAGAGACCTACTGGGACAAAGGTCTGCTGGCCTCTGGTCACCTGCAGACCAGAGTCTAGTGTCTGTTCTCCATTCTCTGGGCTAACTCTAGGGACAGCAGCTAGCTTCTGCACTACTCAGAGTAGGAAAGGAGCCTAGATGTTTCACGTTTGCTTTGCTGAACCCCCGTTTCCTCGAGACCCTGCCTGTTTCACTGCTGAGCCTCAAGACTTCTGGGGCTGTCCTTGCTTCCCAGAGATGCCTAGTGCCTGGGCTCCAGCCCACAACCTTCCTCTGTGGACAACCTCTGTTCCCACCCACGCCGCTTTCTACATCTCCTCCTCCTGTGCTACCTTCTTAGCAGCAGGTGTGGGGAGGGATGGAGTTAGGCATGACTGACTTCACCTAGCCTGGGAAAATGAGTGATGGTTGGGAAATTCATCATGGGAGATGTCTAGTCCTGCAGATGGAGCAGCACCCACACCATAAGTAATGTCTCAGTTTGTGGCAGTGAGAGGGATGGACCCTGTTTCAAAGGATTGGCCCATCGAGGTCCCTTAGGCTTTTCTAATGATTGATGATGTCCCTTGGCATGCGGATGGCATTTTTCCATCTTTTTTTTTTTTTTTAATCTTTCCGTTGTACATCCTCTTTTTCTTTACTTGGTGTCTTGTTACAAGGACAGAAGTCATGGGATTAGGGCCATGTCTTCCTCTTGGGTGGCCTCCCCACTGCTTCTTCTATCTTTAACAGGCTGAAGGTTAAGACTGTGGCATGTGAGCTTTAAGGGTACACAGTTCACCCCCTAACAGGAGCAAAGGCCACGCAAGGAGGGGGATGAACCCAGTGCTGGGACCCTGGCTGCTGTCCCTGCTGGCACCGTCAGTGTTGGGTGAGTCCGGAGCTCTGGCTGCGAAAGCTCTTCTCAGCTCTGTGGAGACCCTGGGCCCCAGGTGACTTCTCTGTACTTATGATGAGGTAAGAGAAGGGGTGGTCCTCTCAGCCTTCTCCAGGAGACCTTGAGAGACGAGGACAGAACCATTGAGATGTTATGCAAGTTGAAAGTGACCCTGTCCAACAGCTTTACCTATGCAACACCTGGGTTTAGCATCCCATCAGTGAGAACTTGACCCAGTGTCCATAAAATGAACCCATCTCAAGGGGTCCTGGGAGCTGGGCAACCCACTGAGAGGCACACAACTCCAGGGAAGGTAGGTGCACAGATAGCTGTCTTTAAGGTAAGCAGGGGATAGGAATGAAACTCTGGGATGGTCAGGGCTCCTATCCACCCCAGCCTTCAGCCAGGAAGAGCCAGGCTGGACAGGGGACTGGGTTGGCTCCCTAAAACACAGGGTGCTCTGCGCCAGGCATGGTGGTGCACACCCTTAGTCTCAGCACTCAGGAGACAGAAGGAGGCAGATCTCTGAGTTGGAGGCCAGCCTGGTCTATATAGTGAGTTCTAGGACAGCCAAGACCACATCCCTTCATACTGAAATTCCTGAAGAAATTTGGAATAGAAGGAACGTATTTCAATCAACATAAAAAGGGTGTGTATGACAAACATAGCCAGTATTACATTAAGTGGAGAAATCGAAAGCATTTCCACTAAAAGCAGGAACAAGTCAAGGTGTCTACCATCTCCACCCATTTCAGGAAATACTGGAGGTCTGAGCTAGAGCATAAGACAAGACAGCAGACAAAACAGGGAGACAAGAAGCAGACACAAGGAGACAAGCAGGAGAGGAAGAAGCCAGAGTATCTCTATTTTCAGATAATGTGACTCTGCACATGAGACACTCTAAAGAGCTGGGCCATGGCAGTGCATGCCTTTAATCCCTGCACTCTGGAGGCAGAGGCAGGTGGATCTTTCTGAGTTTGAGACCAGCCTTGTCAACAGTTCCAGGACAGCCAAAGCTACACAGAGAAACCCTCTCTCAAAAACAAAACAAAAGACACAGAAAAAGAGACTCTAAGAGCCCACCATGAAACTCTTAGAGCAAATAAACGCTTTCAGCAAAGTGACAGAATACAGAATTAACATATAAAAATCAGTAGCTGTCCTATATGCTGACAACAAACATGATAAAAAACTCAGGCAAAACTTCTATCACAGTAGCCTCAGGAAAAAATAGACCTTGGGGGCTTGAGAGATGGCTAAAGGATAGGCTCACAACCAAAACAAAACCAAACAAAAACAAAACAAAACTCAACCAACCAACAAACAACAACACTTTAGAATAAGAATAAGAAAGGAGGTAAAAGATCACAATGAAATTCTATAACGCCTTGGGCGGTGCATCGTGGTGCATGCCTTTAGGCCCAGTACTAGGGAAATAGAGGCAGATGAATCTGAGTTTGAGGCCAGCCTGGTCTACAAAGTGAGTTCCAGTACAGCCAGGAACTGTGGGCTGGGGGGAGGGGAGGAGGGGAGGAAGCTAGAAGATGGAAAGATCTCTTGTGCTTACGAATTGCAAGGGTCAATATTGTAAAAATGACTACCCCAACAAAAGAAAGCTGTGGCTACAACACAATCTCAGTCAAAATTCTAGTAGCATTCTTCCTAGGAATAGAAAAATGAATCTTAAAATCCTTATGGAAGCATGGAGACCTTGCATGGCCACAGCAACCTAGAGTAGAAAGAACAGTGCTGGAAGTATCACCATACCTGATTGCAAGAAATACTAGAGCCGAGTAATAAAAACATGGCACAGAATGGACACACAGGTCAATGGAGGAGAAAGGACCCTGATACTAGGGTCACATGACTACAGTCACATGATTTTGGAAAGATGAAAAGACATGCACTGGAGAAAAGTCAGCCCCTTAAACAAATGGTCTGGGAAATGTGGATGTCTACATGCAGAAGAATGGATCTAGATCATTATCTTTCATCCTGCACAAAAATCAACCTCAAGTTGATCAAAGACCTGAAACTTCTGGAGGACTGCACATCAAGAGATGGGTGTAACAGGGGGCTGGAGAGATGGCTCAGAGGTTAAGAGCACTGGCTCCTCTTCCAAAGGTCTTGAGTTCAAATCTCAGCAACCACATGGCTCACAACCATCTAAGATGAGATCTGTTGCTGTCTCATGGAGAACAGGTATACATATAGGCAGAACATTGTATACATAATAAATAAATAAACAAACAAACCTTTATTTAAAAAAAAAAAGATATAAGAGCCGAGACTAGTGGCCCACACCTGTCATCCCAGCACTCTGGGAGGCAGAGGCAGATAGATCTCTGTGAGTTTGAGGCCAGCGTGTTCTACAAAGCAAGTTCAAGACAGCCAACGCTACACAGAGAAACCGTGTCTAGAAAAACAAACAAAACAAAACTGCAACAAACAAGCTGTCACTGAGTGAAGAATGGGAGCAAATACTTGGGAACTATACCCCCAACAGGGGAATTAGTGTGTAGACTATCCAAAGAACTTCAGAATCTAAGTATCAATGAAACAACCTGTGTGGTTTCAATGAAAATGGTGCCCAGAGACTCACAGGGAGTGGCACTGTTGGGTGGTGTGGCCTTGTTGTAGTAGGTGTGTCCTTGTTGGAGGAAGTGTGTTATGGGGGTGGGGAGAGCTTTGAGGTTTCAGATGCTCAAGCCAGGCCCAGGGTCACTTTCTTTTCCTGCTGCCTGCTGATCCAGATGTAGAACTCTCAGCCATCTCTCCAGCACCATGTCTTCCTGCATGCCACCATGCTTCCCATGTGATGAAAATGGACTAGACCTCTGAACTGTAAGCCATCCACCATCAAGTGTTTTCTTTTATAAAAGTTGCCTTGGTCATGTCTCTTCACAGCAATAGAAACCCTAACTAAGACACAACATAATAAAAAAAAAAAAATGGCTGGTTTAGGAATTAAAAAGAATTCTCAAAAAAAGAAATACAAATTTCTAGTAAACATTTTTTTTTTTTTCATTGTGAGTCTGGCCTTTAAAGGCTGAGCCATCACTCCAGCCCTAAAAGTGTTCAACATCATTAGCCATCAGGGAAATTAAAATTAACACTACATTGAGATTCTATCTTACTCCACTCAGAGCGACCACCAAGAAAACAAATGGCAACAAATGCTGGTGAGAATGTGGGGAGAGGAAGCCTCCTTCACTGTGTGTGGAGCTACATCTGACCCCTTGAAGCTGGTTCTTGTTAGCACCGTGAGTACTTGAAAAATCCTGGGAAACACCCTCACCGCATGGATCCCGAAGGACCTTTGGTGTCCTGTGTGCAAGGAGCATTAGTAGAATGGCAGAGGAACAGTTTGAACAGAAGGGAGGTACTCAGTCTCCAGGAAGTGACGGGGCAGGAGCCTAAGGCAGATCTGAGCTACCAGCTACCGGCCTAGCTCCCTGAGCAGACGGCTGGTCTGCAAGGTACTGAAGACTCAGGTGTCTAGCATTTCTTCAATTAGCCTGCCACAGAACCTGCTGTTATTGCCACCGTGTCACTCCAAAAATCCACATGCTGAGCCCCTCACCCCTTTAAGGGAGTATGAAGAAGTGGGGCCTTTGTAATGTGGTTAGGGCCTGAGGTGGGCGCACCCAGAAAAGAGATTAGGGCCCTTGTAAAGGAGACTTAGGTGCTTCATCCCCTTCCACCATAAGGACATCCTGAACCCACGAGGAAAGATGCCCCCAGAACCTCACAGCGCCAGGCTCTTGCCTTCTTGTCCAGCTTCAGGGCCTGTGGGAAATGGTGTGCTACTTGAGCCAGCCATGCACTGTGCCTGATGATTCCCATCTGGGTGGACTTGGAGGACATCCCACAGAGGATCTGGTGTGGGGCGTCCTACAGAAGGCGAGCAGTGGCTGCAAGGCAAGCAGAAGTGACTTGGCTGGGTTTCATGTTCAGCTACTCAGGGAAACACTTGAAAAGTGCCTTGAGCCTCATGTTTTGCTTACCCTAGACATCCAAACCAACCAACCAAACTGGTCATCTCTGCTTTTGGAACTGATGGCTAAATTGACTGCCAACTTGACAGAATTGGAGTCACCATAGAGCCAGGCCTTGTAACTCATGCCTTTAGACATAGCAGTGGGAAGACAGAGGATCTCTGTGAGTTCAAGGCTGGCCTGTTCTACAAAGCAAGTTCCATGACAGGGCTACATAGACCCTGTCTCAAAAACACACACACACACAAAAAATAAAACTAACCAAACAAAAGAGAAGAACTCGGAAACAAGGAAAACAAGCGTCTGGCTTATCTATGAGGGAGTTCCTAGATTAGGTTAGCTGAGGTGGGAACACTCATGTAGCCTAACTTTGAACAGCACCATGCTTTGGGATTGGGTCTTGACTGACTAAAAAGAAGAAAGTGAGCTGAACACCAGCATTCATCTCTTGGCTTCCTGGTTATGGATCTATTGCCTTCTGCTCCCTTTCTCACGCCTTCTGCCATAGCAGACGGTGAGCCAAAATAAAGCCTTCTTCTTCTAAGGTGCTTCTGCCAGTGCTGAGAACAGTAACTAGAGCAGGGACATGTTCCTTCTCATGCTGACCCTTGACCGATTGTGACACCCACACTTATCTCCTGTCCCGGTCTCCGCTCCTCCTTCTCATGCTCTGCTTGGCACAGGGTAGCCAGGTCCAATGAATCCAGGTCCCTGAACCCCCTCCCACCAAGATGATAATCTCCCAGGCCTGGAGGGGCAGCTTTGCCTGCCTGCTCGGTCAATCCTATCTAGAACCTACCTTTCCCACTTTGATTTTTTCTGTCACCTGGTTCTGGCTGAGATGTCATCTCCTCAGAACTCCATGGCCCATTCTACATTGTTCTCTCGTGTTTTTAATCAGCCGGCAATTGCCCCATGTTATTTAACCTTTAGCCAGATTTCATAATGTCACGCTTTCTCTGTGAGAGCCAGGACTTTGCCCAGGTCCATCCAGTTGTATGCCCAGGACAGAAGTGGCATATTTAACCCCTGCGGAAATGGGACAGGCTGTGCCCTGCTGCTGTGACCAGCTCCTGCTACCTGTCACTTGCAGAAGGGAATAAATAGGGACAAGATTGAGTCTTTAAACTACCCTTTACTGATAGAACAGCAAGATGAGAAGACAGTGGTTTAGCATCCTAGAGATTTGTCATCTCAAAAGAAATCCAGTCGAGGGGCTAGAATGGTTAAGAGCATTCACCAGCTGCTCTTTTGGGATCGCAGCACCCACAGAGTAGCTCACAACTGTCTGTAACTCTGGTTTCGGGGACTCTGGTGCCATCTTCTGGCTTTCCCAGGCACTGCAGTCACGTGCCCACCTCCATTCCCCACATAAACATTATTAAATACATTTTAAAAACTCAGTTGAAAGCCACAAGCACCTTTTTAGACTTATTTCAGTTTTAGTTGTGAGTATGTGTGTCTGTCTGTATGTGTGGGTACCACACATGGAAGCCAGAAGAGGGCATCGGATCCCCAGAGCTGGAGTTATGGGTGGTTGTGAGTAGCCTCACAAAGCTGCTGGGAACCAAACTCAGGTCCCCCGCAAGAGCAGTATGCACTCACCACCACCGAGAACATACTTCCTACAGATTCTCCCTAGCCCCACAAGGACAGCATTTTATTTAGTAAAACAAATACCAGGAAGAGAAATTGAGATGGTCTGCCCAAGATGGTATGGAGTGGGGAAGGATAGCCTAGTGGTTCTGTGTTATGGATTTTAGAGACATTAGCTATTTATGAGGTGGGTGGCATATTCATAGGGCGAGATGGCCCTTTTTGATGGACCAGAGACCCTCACTGGGTGCCTCTTCCCATAATTCTTCACAAGAGCCCACCAGAGGGGACGGAGGTGTCCGAACACGGTGCAAGTGATACTGTGATGAGGTCAGGTCTTCCATGGGGCATGCACAGGGGTGATGTCCTGGTGCCCTAGTGTCTGAGGTAGTAGAGACAACCTATCTGGAGCTTCAAGGGGGTCTAAGCACAAATGGGCATCAACTCTCAGGAGACACAGCCTCGGAGGTACAGCTGAGGGTTTCCTCCGAGGAAACATTAGCAGCAGTCAGGAGCCTCGCTGCTCCCTGACATACACCAAGTGCTCATTAAATGCTTGTAACATACATGAATGAGCCTTCCACAGCACCACCCCTTCCTCTTCTCACTGAATACGTTCTAAACAGCACTGGCTCCCTTGGGCCCTCAGGTTAGCCTTTCTGCCCCAGCCCCACCTTGGCTTTAGGAATTAATGTGCTTTCTTAAAGCTCATTACCAAGATTGGCTTTTAAGTTTAAAGAGCCCTTTAGATCCCTGAAGCCTCATAAATGTCTTTTAAGTCACATGAAAAAGATCCACACTTCTGAGGGAGCAGGGGGAGGAGCCATAGGCGGGGCAAGACTCAGGACCAGACCAGACATGGGGAGGGAGAGCTGAGACAGGGCTACAGGCTCAGGCTAGATTCAAGCAACAAACACAGAGACCCTCCTCCATCCAGGTCTGGCTGGACAAGGAGCAAATGCAGAGAAGAAAAGTCCAGTTCTGAAGCTTTATCTCAGCTGTGGTAAAAGGCACGTAACATGAAATGTGCCATCTTACCAAGTGTGTCGTTGGCACTCCCGATTGTTACAGAGCAGACCCAGAACCCCCTCACCTGGAAACGCAACTTTATGCCCCTTCAACAATAACCCTTTACTCTCTCTCCCTGCTCCTCTTTGCAAATTGTGCTCTGATCTGCACTTGGACAGAGTATCACCCACTTACCTTCAGAGGATAAACTCTAAGAGCCCCCAGTCCTGCCTAAATTCTTGAGTGCCACCAGACCGTGTGTAGATATGTTTCTTCCCATACATGCAAACCTGTAAAAAAGCTACACTTTTTACCTATAGGGGCTTCTCTGGCATCCTGCATGTTGGGGCTGTTACTCAGTAAAATAAGGGAGACTTGAACTGGCTATGGTTTATCTGGTAACAGCTGCTGCATTACTAGAGAGAGGGTGATGAATACCCTCTGGATATGCTGGGTGCCAGAGTGCCAGCGTTCAGTGTTCAGTGCAACTCATAGCCACCCAACAACCTTTTTGTTTGTTTGTTTGTTTGTTTGTTTGTTTTTTGACACAGGTTTTCCCTGACCGTCCTGAAACTTGCTATATAAACCAGGCAACCAGGCTGGCCAGGAACTCAGAAATCTGCCTGCTCTGCCTTTAAAGTGCTGGGACTAACAAAAGATATTCTACCTTGGCCCCACTAAAGAAATATCTTCTAGATAAAGAAACAGCCTGTTGGCTGGGCATGGTGGCACACACCTGTCATCCCAGCCCTCTGGGAGGCTGATCTCTATAAGTCTGAGGCCAGCCTGGTCTGCAAAGCAAGTCCAGGACTTTGAAAGCTACACAGAAAAATCCTGTCTTGAAAAACAACAAAAAGAGTTGTGAACTTTGACCCTAAAGAGAATTAGCCTGTTGGAGCGAAATCATGGCTTGAAAATAATCCAAGGCACAAGAGAGAAGGCTGAGCCGACTCTCCAATCTGAACTGTAGGGTGCAGGTTCTCCACACACTTCTGGGATGCTTTAGGATGGTGTGAGTCAAGGTCACAGTAGAGCAGCACCCTGTCCCGCCCCTCTCTTGTTCCTCTGAAGAATGTCACCCTGTGTGTGGCTTGCTAGGCAGGACTCATTTCTTCAGCCAAAGCATCTGCCTCATGGTTGGCTGTTGCCCCAGCCTAATTGCTAACAAAAGTTTTGGTTTTTAGTGTATTCTGTCCTAGCTTGATAGTAGTTTCCAGCAACCCATGTTAGAAATTCCTAGAAGCTTGTTAAAAACGTGATTTCTGGGTTGTATCTCAGAAACTACTGCCTAAATGTTAACCTGGGTAAGGGGGCACACATAAAAGCCTAGCTCTGAGGAGGCTGAGGCAGGGGATCATGAATTTCAGGCCAGCCCTAACTGAGATCTTGTCTCAAAAAATCTAAGCCAGCCAAATCAGAAAATAAACCCTGAGGACACAGGGCCTGGACTGTCACCTTGGAAATAGGGAAGTGGTGGGCGATGCCTCACTGCATGTCTGAAAGATGGGAGGTCTGGAATGTTAAAGGAGGGTGGGGTGGGGTTGGAGGGGCAGTGAGGCCTGAGCAGGAGTCCCAGTTAGCAGCCCCTTGGCACTCTAGTTTCAGGATTCAGCTTTTAGCCCGTCAGAGCGCCCCAGTGGAGGGACACGCCCACTCTGCGCCTTGCCATGGAGGCACTGTAAAATCAAATGGATGGCATCCATGGCAGGTGGGGAAGCTGTCACTGTGGTCCCCCCTGGAGAAACAGAGACGGCTGAAAGTGGCCATATGCCAACTGCCCCTGTTTAGCCAGAGTGCGACAGACACACACACCAATCAGAACTGCACAATCCTTATAAACACGGGCTATCGTGTGTGTCTACTGGAAATTTAAAGTAAAGGTTGCTGGGAGGGAGCTTGATTGCTGTCATGTGTGTGTGAGTAGAACCATTTTTCTGGCTAAACAGATGCTTCTGCCGTGAGCAAGAAGGTAGGCACCTTCAAGAGGACTGAGGAGGCTTCTCGGCCAAGCTAATGATAGGCTATGAGGTCACGGAGGTTCTGGGACACCAGCCTGCCAGGCTCTAGCCTCCCTAGCCTCTCTGTGAGTGGAACGTGCCCTCTAATTAGGCACAGTGTGACACCACCCAGACTCTGTGGTGACACACAAATTGCATGTCCAGAGGCCCCAGCAGAGAAGATGTTTTATGAACTCGGTTTTAGTTCCCCAGGCCAGAAACCTGCTCTACCTGCCTGCCAAGCCTGGTCCTGAAGCACCCAGGGTTTTCTTGTTCATAGAAAGTCATACATCTCTGGGACAGCTTGGGTGGTGGGTCTTCTGGGTAGAAAGTTGGATTTCCCTTTTCTTTTGATGAGATTTCAAGGAGGCACTTTCAACCACAGGAGGAAATACTTCAGGTTGGAGCCAGCAAAGTCCTCCTGGCTGGAGCAGCTGAGGCAGCCTCCGTCCCACACCTGGATCTGTTTCCCCCCAGGTGACTCTGTTCTCACGCTCTCCACTTGCAGATCTGGCACTGTGGAGGCATGATCATCTCAAGTGGCCTCTGTCACTTTTCAGTGATGACAGATGGGCTGCCAAGGAATGATCTATGATGACATATGTGTCTCTGTCCTTTAAACCCATTTGTACCTGTAACACTGAAATTGTCCCCAATCAGAGGCTTTGCATGGCCTATCAAGGCCAAGATTAGAGGTTCAAAGTCATCCTCAGCTACATGGAAGCCCTGAGTTGCATGATACTATGCCTCAAACAAAACTAACAAAAAAGCAAACACACATGAGATTCTGACCTACTCCTAAAGTATGCTCCCTCATACACTCCTGAAACTTAGATTTGGGTCAATAGTGAAGAACTGTGGTGTTTGTAAACCCACAATGTTTGTTGTAATACGTGATGGTTGTACCAGGGGTGGAGATGGTATTAGCTGTACTTCAGTCATTAAGGGATGCCTTCTGTTTTAATTAGGCTTTTCTAGGGGGACAAAGCTGGTAGAATCTATGTAGTGATGTAAAAGGAGGTTCACTGCAGGGCCTGGGTATCTAAGAAGTGAATTCTAAGTGGCTGTTCAAGACAAGAAGCTGGGCTGGGGGTAGAGATGGTGTTCAGAGACAGAGACTGTAGGAGCACACACAGAAGAAGAGGCAGACCTTGGAGGTCGAGGTAGGAGCCCACAGCGTCAGCAGTCGGGAAGCTTCCAGGAGTCACTGGTGTGGCAAGGATGAAGAAGTGGAGTCAGGTGGCTGGCAGTGCTAGACACCT